GACTGATCAGGGGGAAAGAACTGGGCCCAGGCTGGAAGGGCATCTGGCCTGTGAAAAAGATTATTAGAACCATATTTAGGGTGAGAACTCACATGTAACTAGGTTCTTTAGTGTATTAAGCTTAGTTTGCGTGCTCTGTTTTATTTTCTTAGTAATCTGCCTTGTTCTGTGTGGACATCTGGGTGCTGTGGCAAGCCTCTTAAGATGAGCCTTCCCAGAGCGGATCACTGTCTTTCTGTGGAAGTGGGTGTGGCCCTGCCTGTGTGCTTGCCTGGAAAAGGTTAGGGAGCCTATCCCACCTAGACCAGGTGAAAAGGGGGCCTAGGCTGGCACAGTAGTCTGACTCAGTGATCCACAGCCCCATTTGGCCTGGGCGCCCCATACACTTCATGGGGAGAGTTTAGGCACTGAAAATGGGATCCACAGAAGCCAGCAAACTGAATGGCGAGCCGCCTCAGCTAGCTAATAGGAAATGCCGAGGAGAGGGGTGTGGCCTTGTGATAAATGAAGGGGGGGGTATTAGCCTTGACGGGGGTGGGGGGTGGGAACTGTGAGTGTGGGTGGGAGAAAGATTACTGCGTGACACTAGAGCACAGGTGTCAGCTATCCACCAATCCCTGGTGGACCCCAAATTCATCACCCAGAGGCCCAAGTGACAGTGCAACCCTTTAAGGCCAACTCTTTTAACTCGCCCACAGCCAAGTTGCCTGTCCAGTACAAGGGCTGGTCAGGAATATGGACTATGACGATTATCCCATTCCCATGCTGCTGGGAGAAGACTTAGCCAACCAACTGAGGCTAACAAAAAGGGTGGGGATGGTCACCCACAGCCAGGCTAAACAGGCCTCCACACCTAACTCCATTCCTGAGCCTCCAAAGGTGATGAAACCAGACCCCAGACCAGAGTCTATGGCAGTGGTTGTAGATCCAGTTCCTGAGACCCAGCCAGAACCAGCCCAAGGATCGGAACTGGTGGAGCTGTCAGCACCAGAGCCTGTGCTTGCAACCGCACCAGAGTCAGGGGAGCCAACACCAAAGGGTGCCATAGAGCCTGCACCTGCAGCAGCTGCTAAACCAGTGCAAGAAGCTCAACTGGAGCCTGTGCACCAGTGGAAAGCAGCTCAGTCAATGGAGACACCCCCATCACAGGCATTGCTTCCAGTAGCACCAAGCCCAATCCACAACCCAGCGAGGAAAAAACGGTTACTCACCTTTTTGTAACTGTTGTTCTTCGAGATGTATTGTTCATGTCCATTCCAAGCAGGTGTGTGCGCGCCGCGTGCACACCAGCCGGAAGATTTTACTATAGCAGCGTCCATAGGGTCGGCTTTGGCGCCCCCTGGAGTGGCGCCTTCATGGCGCTGTATATAGGGGCCAGCCGACCCGCCACCCTCTCATTTCCTTCTTGCTGACACTCCGACAGAGGGGCAGGAGGGTGGGTATTGGAATGGACATGAACAACACATCTTGAAGAACAACAGTTACAAAAAGGTGAGTAACCGTTTTTTCTTCTTCGAGTGATTGTTCATGTCCATTCCAAGCAGGTGACTCACAAGCCTGAACCTAGGCGGTGGGGTCGGAGGTCACTGCAGACTGGAGTACTGCGCGGCCAAAGGCTGCATCATCTCTGGCCTGGTGCGTGATGGCATATGTGCCGTAAAAGTGTGGATTGAGGACCACGTGGCCGCTCTACATATTTCCTGCATCACGACCTGGGCCAGGAACACAGCGGAAGAGGCCTGTGCTCTTGTGGAGTGGGCTGTGATAGGCGGGGCTGGAATGTTAGCCCGACTGTAGCATTCCTGGATGCAGGTTTTGATCCAAGAGGAGATCCGCTGTGAAGAGACCGGGAGCCCCTTCATCCTGTTGGCCACGGCAACAAAAAGTTGGGTTGATTTTCTGAAGCGTCTTGTCCTTTCAATGTAGAATGCGAGGGCCCTGTGAACGTCCAGGGAATGCAGCCTATGCTCCTTAGCCGAGGAGTGCGGTTTCGGATAGAACACCGGGAGAAAAATGTCTTGACCCATGTGAAATGGGGAAACCACCTTAGGAAGGAACGCTGGGTGCGGCCTGAGTTGGACCTTGTCTTTGTGGAAGACGGTGTATGGAGGTTCAGATGTCAGTGCCCTGAGTTCCGACACCCTCCGGCTGATGTGATAGCCACCAAGAACGTGACCTTATATGAAAGATATAACAGCGAGCATGAAGCCAGCGGCTCGAACGGGGGCCCTGTGAGGACGGGCAGGGACAGGTTGACGAATGTGCGGTAACAACCCTTGAGGAAGCGACCAATGAGTGGGTCCGCAAACACTGAGGTACCCCCCGCTCCAGGGTGGAATGCCAAGATTGCAGCAAGGTGTACTCGAACCGAAGACCGGGAGAGTCCCAGGTGTCTCAGATGTAGCAAATAGTCCAATATGAGAGGGACCGGGGCAAGCAAGGGAGACTGACCCCGTTGTGTGGCCCAGAGGGAGAAGCGCTTCCACTTGGCCAAGTATGTGGTCCTTGTTGAGGGCTTCCTGCTACCAAGAAGGACCTGCCTGACCTGGTGCGAGCATTGCATCTCCACGGGGTTTAGCCATGGAGCATCCAGGCTGTGAGGTGGAGCGACTCCAGGTTCGGGTGACGCAGGCAACCCCAATCCTGTGTGATCAAGTCCGGGAGTAGGGGCAACCTGAGGGGTACCCGTGTAGACATATGCAGGAGCGACGTGTACCAGTGCTGGCGCGGCCACGCCGGCGCTATCAGGATGACACGAGCGTGATCTCTGCAGGCCTTGAGGATTACTCTGTGAACCATAGGAATCGGGGGGGAAAGGCGTAAAATAACCCGTCTGCCCAAGAAAGGAGGAAGGCATCCGTTAGAGACCCCGGATTGCGCCCCATGAGGGAGCAGAATTGGCGACACTTCCTGTTCTCTCTGGAGGCAAACAGGTCCACCTGGGGATGACCCCAGAGCCGGAAAATTGAGAGTACTATATCCCAGCGGATAGACCACTCGTGACCTTGGAACGAGCGGCTGAGGACATCTGCAAGCCCGTTCTGCATCCCCGGGAGGTAGGATGCTGTCAGGTGAATTACGTTCTGTACGCAAAAGTCCCATAATGCGAGGGCTTCCCGGCACAGGGGAGAGGAGCGAGCACCACCCTGTTTGTTGATATAGAACATTGTTGGAGTGTTGTCCGTGAGGACAGAAACGCACCTGCCCGCCAGCTGGGATTTGAAGGCTACGCATGCGAGGCGCACCGCTCGTAATTCCCTGACATTGATGTGTAACGAAAGGTCTTCCCATGACCAGGCCTTGGGTCCTAAGGTCGCCCAGATGTGCACCCCATCCCACATCCGATGCGTCCATTACCAGGGATAGGGAGGGCTCGGGGCCGACGAAAGGCACTCCTGTGCAGACCTCCCGCGGGTCGAGCCACCATTGGAGGGAGTCCAACAGTGGCTGAGGTAGCGTCACCACTGATTCTAGGGAGTCCCTGCCCGGCCGATACACCCCTGCCAACAGGACTGGAGCGGACACAGTCTGAATCTGGCGTGGCTCACCACATAGGTACATGCCGCCATGTGCCCTAGCAACTTGAGGCAATTTCTTGCTGTGGTGGTCGGGTAACGTTGGAGGCCGAGAATAATGTTGGATATAGTCTGGAACCTGGCCTGTGAGAGGTATGCTCTGGCGTGTGTCGAGTCCAGAACTGCCCCTATAAATTCGATTCTTTGGGTTGGAGAAAGTGTGGACTTGGCCTCGTTCAGTAAGAGGCCGAGCTCGAGGAAGGTCTGCCTGATGAAGACCACCTGAGCCTCCACCTGTGCCTTGGCACAGCCCTTGATGAGCCAATCGTCCAGGTAGGGAAACACCTGAAGGCTGCCACGACTGCCATGCACTTTGTGAAGATCCTTGGGGCTGCTGACAGTCCAAAAGGAAGAACCGTAAACTGTAGATGGGCGTTGCCCACGACAAATCTGAGGTAACGCCTGTGCTGAGGGATTATTGCAATGTGAAAGTATGCGTCCTTTAAGTCGAGGGCGGCATACCAGTCTCCTGGATCCATGGAAGGTATGATGGAGGACAGGGAGACCATGCAGAACTTGAGCTTCTTTACAAACTTGTTGAGACGCCGCAAGTCCAGAATAGGTCTGAGGCCCCCTTTCACTTTCGGTATTAGGAAATAATGGGAATAGAAGCCCCTGCCCCTGAGCTCCTGAGGAACCTCCTCTACTGCCCCTGCTGCGAGGAGGGACTGCACTTCCTGAATTAGAAGTTGCTCGTGAGAGGGGTCCCTGAAGAGGGACGGGGAGGGGGGCTGGTGGGGCAGGAGGGAGGAGAACTGGATAGAATATCCCCTCTCTACTGTGCAAAGCACCCAACTGTCCGATGTGATCCAGGCCCACGCACGATAGAAGGGGGACAGACGTGACGAAAAGGTAAGGTAGGATCCAGAGTTCTGACCGGTAGGTCGTCCTCGACCGGGCCATCAAAATGGTGGTCTAGGCCCCTGTGGAGGCCTTGGTTGGGCAGATGACTGGCCGGAGGGCTGCTGTTGTTGCCTCCTTCTGCCTGTCCTTGCCCTTCTGCGTAATGCGTCCGCGTGATTTTGAGGCTGGTATGGCTGTGGGGCCTGTGGCGGCCTGAACTGCCTACGCTGAGTGACCGGGGTGTGTAGGCCTAGTGAGCGAAGGGTAGCCCATGAATCCTTTAGGCTATGTAGCCTCTTATCCGTCTTCTCCGAGAAGAGCATGGGCCCTTCGAAGGGGAGGTCTTGGATTGTCTGTTGGACCTCATGTGGGAGGCCTGAAACTTGAAGCCAGGCTCCCCGCCTCATGACCAGACCAGTCGCCAGCGTGCGTGAGGCTGAATTGGCCACGTCCAAGGCTGCCTGGAGGGAAGCTCGAGTAATCAATTTTCCCTCCTCGACCAGGGCTGAAAACTCAGTTCGCGATTCCTGGGGAAGGAGTTCCGCGAACCTAGACAAAACCAAACACGTGTTGTGTCCATACCGGCTCACTATGGCCTGCTGATTGGCTATGCGCAACTGCAGACCCCCTGTCGAATACACCTTTCGCCCTAACAGGTCCAATCTCTTGGCCTCTCTATTTTTTGGCGTAGCTCCCTGGAACCTTTGGCGTTCCCTCTGGTTGGCCGCATCTACTACTAGGGAGTTCGGGGGAGGGTGTGTATAAAGATGTTCATAGCCCTTGGATGGAACAAAATATCGCCTCTCAGTCCTTTCAGCTGTGGGGGCCAATGAGGCTGGCGTCTGCCACAAAGTGCAGGTTGTATCCGCAATGGTCTTTATGAGAGGCAGGGCCACCCTGGATGGGCCCGACAGGGTCAGGATGTCCACCACTGGATCAGTATCCACCTCGATTTCCTCCGTTTGGATTGAGAGGCTCTGGGCTGCTCGAGTAAGCAGCTGTTGGAGGATCCTATTGTCCTCTAGAGCCGGTGCTGCTGACGTTCCCGCCGCTGACGTTCCCGCCACTGCCTCATCCGACGAGGAAGAGGAGGAGATCCTCTGAAGAGGGCCTTCTTCTATACCCTCTACCTCTACCAGGGCCTGCAGCACATGGTATTCAGGCTGCGCGGCCGGTGCGGGTTCAGGATGCGGCACTGCGGCCGGTACCGGGGTCGACACCGAGCGACGAGGCATGCTGGGCGGTGCCTGCGGCGTTGGGAGCATGGTCCCTGCCGGTGCCTGACTAGGCGGTGCCGTGTCCCATTGTGGCACACTCCTGTCAGACGGTGGTGCCAGTGGTGGGGACATCAGCGGCAGGGCCACCGACGTCGAGGAGACTGATGCGGCCCGTGAGTGGGGTCCATACGCCTGACCCACTGACTTGTGGTAGGCCCATGGCGTCCAGAACGGCCACTGGGGGGGGGGGGGGGGGGCCCCTGGTGGGGCCCGCGCGGGGGGGGGGGGGGGGCGCTCCCCCGGGGGGGTGATCGTCTGCTCCTCGATCTATTGGAGCGGTACGAGTCCGCCGCCGAGTCAGAGGTCTCCGAGTACGAGGACATAGAAGGGGCGGTTTGCCCCGAGATTGTAACTGGGGTCGAGCGGAATCCAGAGGTTCTCTCCACCGGTGCGGCAAAGCCGGCACCGGGAGGCTCAAGAGGTCTGAGGCAGCCTCAAACGCCTCTGGTGTCGATGGGAGGCGCACTTCCTCTATAATGTCTGGGGATCTAGGCCTGTCCGGACTCAACCGTACCCTCTTCGGGGCGGGAGTCAACGGGATAGCAGAATGGGTCTGCGGCGCGGCCTGTCCGCAGCACTCGTGGACGGCGCTGGCCCCTTAGGGTCCTGGTGGGGGGGAATGTTCTCTCACCGGCCTCTTCTTTTTAACCGGCACTGGCGATGGTGAACGATGTCTCACCGAGGCCGATTTCTTGTGCGCCAGCTCTCTCCGGTGCTGGGCTTTGGAGGCTTTGGGCTCACGACTTATCGCCAGTGCCGGGGCACTGCGCACCGAGGATGAAGTGCTGGGTGCCGGATCGGCAGGCCCAGGGTCCGATTGTGGCCACAGGGCCGCTTCCATTAGGAGGACTTTAAGTCTCTGCTCTCTATCTTTGAGAGTCCTGGGGCGAAATACCCTGCAGATACTGCACCTGTCTCTTTGGTGGCTCTCCCCGAGGCACCTTAAGCACGAAGAGTGCGGATCACTCTTAAACATGAATTTCCCGCAGTCCCTGCAGAATTTGAACCCTGGGGACCCGGGCATGCCCCAGTGGGGTGACGAAAACGTTGCGGGGAAAAAAACCCCAACAACTATCTATCTAAACTAACTCTAAACTAACCAACTGACTAACTATTTACAACTAAGACGGAACACTGCCATGATCGCTGAAAAGCAAGCGAAGTTCCAGCTAGCCGTCACCGGCGATAAGAAGGAACTGAAGGGGTGGAGGGTCGGCTGGCCCCTATATACAGCGCCATGAAGGCGCCACTCCAGGGGGCGCCGAAGCCGACCCTACGGACGCTGCTATAGTAAAATCTTCCGGCTGGCGTGCACGTGGCGCGCACACACCTGCTTGGAATGGACATGAACAATCACTCGAAGAAGAACTAATGTCTCCAGCATCAAGGGAGCAATTCCAGGCAGAGCAGGAAGCGGATGAGAGACTCAAGGGACCTTGGACAGCGGCACGGAACGACCCACCAGCTCTTCTAATAGGTCCAGGTTTGTTGTAGAAGGAGGATTCTTGTATAAGGAAACCCTTTCTGGTGGGCACAAGGAGGACTGGCTTCCTCAGAGACAGTTGGTAGTTCCAACTAAGTATAGGGAAAAGCTCTTGAGCTTAGCCCACGATCACCCTAGTGGCCATGCTGGGGTGAATAGGACCAAAGACCATTTGGAAAAGTCATTCCACTGGGAGGGAATGGGCAAAGATGTTTCTACCTATGTCCGGTCTTGTGAGGTGTGCCAGAGGGTGGGAAAGCACGAAGACCAGGTCAAGGCCCCTCTCCAGCCGCTCCCCATAATTGAGGTTCCATTTCAGCACGTAGCTGTGGATATTCTGGGTCCTTTCCCTAAGAAGACACCCAGAGGAAAGCTGTACATACTGACTGTGATGTTGCACTCCATATGTTTATGGAAATATGCTTATAAGTATAAATATAACCTAATTGGAATATGCTTTGTGCTAGATATGCCATGTAACATATCTTTGCAAAGGTTATGATCTACTGAATATATTCATCCTATATGTATGATTTGTATATCTGAAGTTATGAGCATTGGCTCTATGCTTGTATTTGAAGTGTTTGCTGTAGGAAACTACATTAGCCTTTTTCCAGTCATCCGGGACCTCGCCCGATCACCATGAGTTTCCCAATTTGTAATGTGTGGGCATCAGATCTGGACAGGTCAGGCTTAACAAAGCTCTGGCTGGGATGATTTAGTTGGGGATTAGGTCCTGCTTTGAGCAGGGGGGTGGACTAGATGACCTCCTGAGGTCCCTTCCAACCCTATGATTCTATGAAACACATAAGGGAGGTTTGGCCAATATATTGTGAAGGGGCTATTCAAGTAATTAGGAGTACTTAACTAACAATGGATTTTGGGAGACGGAAATCCACATCTGAGCTTTCCTGGGAATGTTCAAACTAACATGTAAACAATGGCATCGACCTGCAAAAAGCTGAAGCATTCATGGGCATGTGACTTGCCCAGTTGGCTACAAACTCCATCTTGTTGCTGTGATTTTTGCACAGAAGAACAAAGGGGTTTCTGCCCACAAGAGAGAGAATATAAAAGGCCATGGAAGCCTCTTCATTTTTGTCTTCAGCTGGCTCAAGAGATGGCCTCTCCACTCCAAAGAGATGCCTGAAAGAAACTGGAACAAAGAACTGTAACTACGGGGATGTGAGTGATTGCTGGACCTAGGCCATAAACTACAATGTTGGTCTTAAAAGTATTGTACCTGAGATAACATCTAGCATGAGAAGTTAGTATTTGTAACTAGATCCTTAGTGTATTAAGTTAGCCTTGCGTGTTTTGCTTTATTTTGCTTGGTAACTTACTTTGTTCTGTCTGTTATTACTTGGAACCACTTAAATCCTACTTTTTATACTTAATAAAATCACTTTTGCTTATTAATTAACCGAGAATAAGCAATTAATACCTGGGGGAGCAAACAGCTATCAGTGTAATAGAGGGTGGACAATTTATGAGTAAGAGTAAAACGGATTTATTTGGGGTTTGGATCCCATTGGGAGCTGGGTGTCTGGGTGCTAGAGACAGGAGCACTTGCTAAGCTGTTTTCAGTTAAGTCTGCAGGTTTGGGGGTGTGGGTCAGACCCAGGGCCTGTGTCGCAGCAGATTAGCGTATCTGGCTCAAGACAGGGTTCTGGAGTCCCAAGCAGGCAGGGAAAACGGGCTCAGAGTTAGTCACAAAACACCAGGTGACCGTCCCAAGGGGGTCTTTGTGATCAAACCCATCACATCGCGAGTTTCAAATGAGGCTCAAAGAAGCAGAAGCAGCCAGGGAGGAAGCTGCTCACAAAAGAGCCATGGAGTTAAAAGACAAAGAGCTTGAAGCCCAGCAAGATGCTCAGGAGGAGAAGGAAAGAGAGAGGCAGCTAGCCCTGGAATTAAAAGACAGAGAAATACAGGCCCAGATTGAGACCCAGAAGCATGAACTGGCTGTAATGGAGTGAAAGAGACAAAACACTTCAGCAGCTGGCTCCACTTCCCCAAAAATCCACAAATGGGAGCAGTTATGTCCACAGTATGATGAATCCAGTGATATTGCTGAATATTTCATCACCTTTGAGAGACTGTGCACTCTCCATGCAATTCCTGGAGATCAAAAAATGACTACTTTAGTTGCAAAATTGACTGAGAGCTCTGGACATATTCAATAAGATGCCTATTGATACTTCAAACTATGATAAATTTAAGGAACTGGTTTTAAAACAGTTTCAGATTTCACCTGAAACCTACAGGGTTAAATTCAGGAGTCTTAAGAGGGGATCTGGATTGACTAATGTGGCTTATGTAAATGAAATGAGAGATTTGTTGGACAAGTGGGTGAGGCATTACAAGCCTGGAAGAAATGTGTGATTTAGTTACTCAGGAACAGTTCCTGAATATGTGGAGTGATGATGTAAAACAGTATTTGTGGGACAAAAAGGTGAATGAGGTGGGGGAATTAGCTGGGTTTTCAGACTCTTACAAGCAGTCACAAGATGGAATTAAACATAAACCAGTGGCAGAAAGATACAGGGTTGGTGGAAAGCAGAATCACCGTTTTACCCCTGGGAAAAAGGAGGCTGGGCATTCATCTCCCCATATCCCTCTTACTTGTCCCAAGTCTCCTGTACGAGCAGAGGAGCCCAAAAGGTGCTATCATTGTAAGTCCACTGAGCACCTGAGGAATAAATGTCCTTGGCTGAGTGGAAACAGGCAGCAGGTAACATAGAATCATAGAATATCAGGGTTGGAAGGGACCTCAGGAGGTCATCTAGTCCAACTCTCTGCTCAAAGCAGGACCAATCCTCAACTAAATCATCCCAGCCAGGGCTTTGACGAGCTTCACCTTAAAAACCCCTAAGGAAGGAGATTCCACCACCTCCCTAGGTAACCTGTTCCAGTGCTTCACCACCCTCCTAGTGAAAAAGTTTTTCCTAATATCCAACCTACTGCAACTTGAGACCATTACTCCTTGTTCTGTCATCTGGTACCACTGAGAACAGTCTAGGATCCATCCTCTTTGGAACCCCCTTTCAGGTAGTCGAAAGTAGCTATAAAATCCCCCCTCATTCTTCTCTTCTGCAGACTAAATAATCCCAGTTCCTCAGCCTCTCCTCATAAGTAATGTGCTCCAGCTCCCTAATCATTCTTTTTTTTTTTTTGCCCTCTGCTGGACTCCCTCCAATTTGTCCATATCCTTTGCGTAGTGGGGGGGCCAAAACTGGATGCAATACTCCAGATGTGGCCTCACCAGTGCTGAATAGAGGGGAATAATCACTTCACTTGATCTGCTGGCAATGCTCTTACTAATGCAGTTCAATATGCCGTTAGCCTTCTTGGCAACAAGGACACACTGCTGACTCATATCCAGCTTCTCATCCACTCTGTGGAGAAAGAAGTGGTTCGGGATTATTTAGAAAAGCTCGTCCAGCGCATAAGGGAGGCAGGATTAACCGTTAGGGCCAAAAATGTCAAATAGGCCTAAACAGGGTAATGTGCCTTGGACGCCAGGTGGGTCAAGGAACTATCAACTCCCTACAGGCTAAGGTAAATGCTATCCAAAATTAGCCAGTCCCTCAGTCAAAGAAGCAGGTCCAATCCTTCTTGGGCTTGGCCGAGTATTACAGACGATTTGTACCACACTACAGCCAAACTGCCACCCCACTGACCGACCTAACCAGGAAAAAAACAGCCAAATGCAGTTCAGTGGACTGAGAAGTGTCAGAAAGCCTTTAACCAGCTTAAGCAGCCCTTACGTCTGACCCTGGACTAAGGGCCCCAGACTTCGATCAACCTTTTGTTGTAACCACAGATGGGTCCGAGCATGGTGTAGGAGCTGTTTTAATGCAGGAAGGACCAGATCAACAATTCCATCCTGTCGTGTTTCTCAGCAATAAACTTTCTGAGAGGGAAAGCCACTCGTCAGTCTCAGAAAAAGAATGTTACACCATTGTGTATGGTCTGGAGAAGCTACGCCCATACATTTGGGGATCGCGTTTCCATCTGCAGACTGACCGTGCTGCACTGAAGTGGCCTCACACACTCAAGGAGACGAACAAAAAACCTTCAGTGGAGTTTAGCTCTTCAAGACTTTGATTTTGAAATACAACACATTTCAGGAGCCTCTAACAAAGTGGCTCCGGGGAAGGTTTCCCAGAATCAGCTGGGTAAAAATGTCCCTGTATTCTGTCATTGTAGTCCTTAAAATGTGGAAAATACTGTTTAGTTCTTCATGTAATTAGTAGTAAAATTAGAGGTGCATGTATCTTATTAACTCTGTTTTCCTAAACCTCCAGGAAGAAATCCCAGCCGTGTGGACCTGACCTGAACCAGGCTGTCCAACACCGTCTCTGATTTGGGGGTAGCGTGATAAATGGGGGGGGGGTGTGATAAATGAAGTGGTGGGGTAGCTCTCTTTTATGGATATCCAGTAGCTACAAAACC